AGCATTACACCAGCACTCCAATATCATGATTGTTGTTGTTAAGTACCATAGAGCCAGTTCTGACCCACAACGACCCTGTATAGGTTTTCTAAGGAGTGGCTAGTGAGCATGAACCACTGCCGTTGTGGTTCAAACTGACTTTGCAGTCCAGCACATGAACCCACATGCCACACCAGCACATCATGGTGATGGTGGTGGTTAAGTGCCATGGAGTCAGTTCCAACTCACAGCAACCCTGTACAGGGTTTCCAAGGCTGTAAATCTTTATGGGAGCAGAAAGCCTCATCTTTCTCCCGCGGAACAGCTGGTAGTTTCAAACTGCTGACCCTGAGATTAGCAGCCCGATTTGTAATCACTAACAAAATTATGAAAAAATATATATAATAATTTGAAAATCATCAAAACTGTTGACCACTGATCATCTTTCCAAAGCTTGAGCAACATCAAGGTCAAGAGATAAATCTATGCAATCTGAGAAGACAACACTAACTGGTACAAATCACAAATTAGATATTGCTACCACCTCACAAAATAATTCTTGGGAAAGGTAGTATGTGCTGAGTAGCAAGGAGACCTCAGAAAATTATTCTGATAACAAAAACACATGTCCTGTGTGATCCACCATGAAATGTCAAAGGTCTGACATTACAGACATATTTGAAATGCGAAGAGTCTGAATGCAAAGTTGATAGGCAGGAGAAAGTCAGAAGCAAAAATGTTGCTTATCCTCCACTTAAAACAAATGCTTCCATTTGTTTTAAGTTTTAAGTGTAGGATGAGAGTACAAGGATCCTGAAGAAGTTTTGCTATAAAGGTAACTTATTTACATAAGAATAGATTAATGTATCATTTTATTTATTGAGAGAAAAAAATGAGTGAATCATCATCTTTCTTAAAAGACTAAGAAGAGAAGCAGCAAGGTGTAACTCTCCAAACAGATGTGAAAGAGGAAATACTCTTTACCTTTCTGATTCCATAGACAGATCTATGAATAAAGGCTGAAATTTACAGGGAGAGAGATTGAACATAATATTCAGGTCACACTTCTAATAATGGTTGGTAACTAACGGATAGCCTTGAGGAAGAGGTATTAAGGTCCTCATCTTTAGAAGGGTTCTAATTCTAACATAGGTGATGAGCCAGTTTGCATGGTTGCTTTTCTACAGGATATATACAATATACAGTATGGGAAATGAAATAGCAATTATTTAGGGAAATACAATATAAATGGTAAGACTCAGGTGGTAGTTTAAGATAATAGCTATTTTACTAGAGACACTGAGTTTTTACTGTTGTTGTTGTTATGTGCCGTCGAGTCGGCTCTGACCCATAGCGACCCTATACAGGGTTTCCGAGGGTGTAAATCTTTACGGGAGTAGAAAGCCTCATCTTTCTCCTGCAGAGCTGCTGGTAGTTTTGAACCGCTGACCTTAAGGTTCGCAGCCTGATTCGTAACCACTACGCTACCAGAGCTCCAGAAAAGGACTAAGGTCCTGTAGTGAGCACAGTATTGCCAGGCAGACGGTGAGAGATTTCCTGAGCAGAACTGAGCCAGCCACAGAAGTCTAAGGAAATGAATGGAGTTTCACTTTAGACCTGCTAACTTACAGAAGAGCAAGTGAAACATATATGGGAGAATTTTTCCCAAGAAGTAAAAGAAGGAAGTGATGAAAACGGCTTTAATAAGAAGAAAAGGATATTTAGAGAAAATTATGCAGAGTGTGATACAGCTGGTAAATCACAGAATCTAAATCATTCATATTTCCTTTGAGGGAAAAGAGTCAAAAACAAAGAAGATAAAGATGAAGATATGTTGGGTATTAAAGGGAAGAAGGAGCTGCTAACCTCAAGGTCAGCAGTTTGAAACAACCAGTGGTTTCATTGGAAGACTGATGAGGCTTTCTGTTCCGGTAAAGATATATATACAGCCTCAAAAACCTTATGCAGGGCCACTATGACCTGAAACTGACTGCACGTAACAACCATCCAAGGGAAATCATGGAGAGGAATGATAGAAAATGAGTATTAATATATACTTTTGTGTTGAACAAGATTAATTGATATTTTGAGGTAACTTCCATGAGCTTTTTTTTTTTCCCCCTGTATTCTCTCTGATGGTAATTTTTCTTTCAGAATATTATGAAATGAAACATTTTCTTTCATTTCCAGATTAAGCTTGCCTTGGAAGCTCTAATTATATTTTTCTTACATAAGTGAGAAAAGACCTATTACTGTAGAAGTTTCATTTAAAAAAAAAAAAAAAAAACAACTATGGTTTAAAACTCAAAACACTTAAGGATTATGTCACAGCTATTTTTGAAATCATTACATCTACAATGAATATCAAGAAAATGGAATGAAAAAAATAGCATGGTGCCTGGAAAAACCTTTGACTGAAATATTTAGATTTGAGGTTTTTAAAAAGTTGAAAACAAATTTAAAGAGAGCTTAAAGAAATCAGCACAAAACATCTGGCATGGTATTACAATAGCAGCAGTTGAATAAATAACAGAAATGTAGTCTACAAGCAATCTCTTACAGAGCAATAAACAAAAAGCCAAACTGATCACCATCTAAGGCATCTTTCATATTTGAGGATGAAATTTTAATTTCATTTTTAATTTTAATACTACATAGAAGATGGCTATCATATAAGTTTATGTTCTACAAGGAGTCTGCCAGGTCTCATACCCTAATAGAACATTTTCTAGTTCAGAAGACACAATGTCTTAAGAGGCAATTTTTTCATCAAAGGCAAACAAACAAACAAGTTTCAGAATGTCTCAAGAATGAAAATGAAAATGACATGGTTGCATAAAGTCATTAATGCTTTATGTTTGACAGGATCTTTTATTCTGATGCAATTACCTACTAATTAGTGGTGACTGCCTGAATATAGTAGATGTTCAACATAAACTTAAATAAAAAAAGAATGCATCAATGATAAAGGAAGGAAATAATTGAAAAATTCAAGAGAGAACAAATGTTAACACCATGTATGGGTGGCAGTATTGCTTGCTGGTGACAAGCATGGATGAAAACCAGACTGATTTAATTTGAAATCCAGTTTAGTACATTGCCTACTATATGTTATGGACAAATTACTTAAACTCTCTATATATCGGTTTCCTTTTGTTTATATAAAATGGACTCTTTTTAGAAACATGTGCATTAACACATTTTAAAGAAGCATTTTAAAAAATATATGGGACATATGTTGCTGTTGTTATCTGCCGTTGAGTCAGCTCTAACGTCTAGTGACCCTGTATAGGGTTTCCCAGGAATGGCTGGTGGGTTTAAACTGCCAGTCTTATGATTATCAGACCAAGGTTTAACCAACAGCATCACACCAAAACATATGGTGGTTATGTGCTGTGGAGTCGGTTCCGAGTCATAGCAATCCTGTACAGGGTTTCCGAGGCTGTAAATCTTTACAGGAGCAAAAAGCCTCATCTTTCTCCCGCGGAGCAGCTGGTAGTTTCAAACTGCTGACCTTAAGGTTCACAGCTCGATTCATAAACACTATGCCAGTGACTGCCAAATAAATGTTATCAAAATTATATGAAGATCGCAGCGATGCCTGAGATAGAGGCAGAGACGATGACGTGGAGCGATGGAGCAGCCGGGGACTTCAGATCCAGAGAGGGAGAGCGACTGTGTGCTGAAGACTGGGGGTGGGTGGGTAGTGTTGGGGGCAGGCTTGTTGGGTATACCCTTTGGTTGGTTGATGATGCATGGAGGGGATTGGAACCATGGCAATGAGATGATATACGATAGAATGAATGTAAAACTAATGTTCTCCCATGTAAACTATCACATAATTCACAATAAAACGTTTTCTATGAAGATCTTGTTCATATAATTTAATATGAGGGGAATCAATAATTATGCATTAAAGCACTGAGGCTAAACACAAAGAAATCCTCTAGAGTTTGGGGAGGTGGGCACAATGAATACAAAGCCTTGGTATTCAACGGTCAAAATTTTCCTATTTCATAGAAATTCTTTTTTCTGGTGAGACTATATGTTTATCCTCCCCAAATATTTTTCACATAAGCATGGAGATAATGTCCTTTTATGCACATTGATTAGAAACCCTGTCAGATAGGAGCAAAGATTAGGTTAGATCTATTTATGTAATTTGAAAACAATTTCTTACTTATTTTTAATATTTGATTAATTTTCAATAGGTTTTATATACAGTGGTAGTGTAGTGGTTACAAATCGGGCTATGAACCTCAAGGTCAGCAGTTCGAAACTACCAGGTGTTCCGTGGGAGAAAGATGAAGCTTTCTGTTCCTGTAAAGATTTACAGCCTCTAAAACCCTGTGCAGGGTTGCTATGAGTAGGAACGGACTCCATAGCACATATAACAACAACAGTACACAGATTAAACTGTTTTCTTAGGGTAAGCCCAAATACTTTCCTTCTTAGAACTATCTTAATTTTGCTTTCACTTATCATATAAATTCATGACTCTAAAAGGGTGGCCAGGAGTCAGAGTCAGTGACTGCCCATGGTATTCAGAAACAAGTGTGCAGCTGGTTAATAAATGCAGCTGCAATCCTGTCTGGGTGGAAAGGAGGAAGGGATCTACTTACACATGTGACAGAACTTGGAAAACAAATTGGGGGAAGGCAAGGATTATGTCTACACCAGGTGAACAAAGGATATGGTGAGGCATATGAATTTACATATTAACAAACTACATTGTACTGTTCCTTTGGTTATTGGAAGTCCACCTCTCTCACAGTCTGGAAATAGCATTTTCTCTAATAAGAGACAGATTATACACGGAAGCATAAGATATAAGCTCAGTGCCATGTATAACTGAAAATTGCTGACATTTTAGATCTGTTTTTAAAATATCAGACAACCACATATAATTGCATGTGTAATTTTCAGTTCTCTTACCTTCTTTTCTGTTTCAGTCCATCTTCACACAGTGGGAAACAAGAACTTTATAAGTACACACATAATTTTGCTTGGGTTACACTCACCATTAGTAGTCTGTCTCCTACTTGCAACCTTCCATCTTTTTGTGCAGCTCCTCCATCTATAATTTTAGTTACATAAATGCTGTTGTCTCCAGGAATATGCTGGTTCCCCACACCTCCTGCAATACTGAAACCTAAACCTATAGAAAAGGGACAAAAAATAATAAGTCTTTCATTATAACTTTTTTTTAAGCAAATGATATATATATATATCATTGTTGTTGCTAAGTGCCGTTGAGTGGGTTCCGACTCATAGAGAGCCTGTATTGGGTTTCTAAAGAGCTGCTGGTGACCTTAAACTGCTGACCTAGTGGTTCAAACTGACCTTACAGACCAGCTCATTAACCCGTAGCACCACACCAGGAATAAATATATATATATATATATATATATATATATATATATATATATACACACACACACACATATATATATATATACACACACACATACATACATATGGAATCCTGGTATGGCGCTGTGGGTTAATGTACCAGACTGCAAAGCCGTTTGAACGGCACGGTCTGAAGTTCAAGCTCACCAGCTGCTCCTCAGAAACCCTATGTGTCAGAACTGACTCAATGGCACTTAACAACAACAACAACAATACACACACATATATTTCAACCAACCCTGGGAATTATTACAACAGCAATAAATAATAGTGAAGATTCTATTTTAACTGATTTTGTTGTTTAAATATTTGAATAAATGTTCATTAAGGCTAATTAGGCAAAGATCTTGAACCATTGGGCCCTTGTTATGTGGTATTGAGCTGATGCCAACTCATAGCAACTCCATGTATAACAGAACAAAATACTACCAGGTCGTATACCGTTTGAGTACATTTTTGCAGCCCCTGCTATCAGTCCCTCATGTTGAGGATTTCCCTCTACTTTGCTGACTCTACCAAGCATAATGTCCCTATCCAGGAAGTGATCTATCCTAATAACATGTCCAAAGTACATGAAACGAAATCTCACCGTTCTCCCTTCTAGGGAGCATTCTGGCTATATTTCTTCCAACATAGATTTGTTTGCTCTTCTGGTGGTGGTCCATGGTATATTTAATATGTTTTGAAAAAAAAAGGCATTGATTTTTTGGTCTTATTGTCCAGTTTTCTCATTACTATGAGGCAGCTGAAAAATATTGTATCTTGGGCCAAGCTCATCTTAGTCCTCAAAGCGACATCTTTGGTTTCAAACACTTTAAAGAGGTATTTCACAAAAGATTTTTCCAGTGCACTACTTATACAACACTTATTTCTTGAAAGTAGCTTCCATGAGTGTTGACTGTCTATACTAGTAAAATAAAGTCCTACACAGCGTCAATCTTTTCCATGTTTATCATGATGCTGAGTATTGACCCAGTTGTGAGGATTTCTGTTTGCTTTACACTGGGGTATGATTCATACTGAAGATTATAGTCTTTTATTTAAATTTAAATTAAGTGATCTGTTATTGTTGTTGTTAAGTGCTGGCAAACCAGTTTAGACTCATAGAAAGACTGTGTATGGCTTCAGAGGAGTGGTTGGTATGTATGAACCAATGATCTTGCAGTCCAGTGCTTATCTTACACTGCCACTCCAGGACTTCAAGCACTTCTAGTCATCTTCTATTTTAGCAAACAAAGTTGTGGCATCTGCATATCACATATGATTAATAAATCTTCCTCTAATTCTGATGCTATATTCTTCTTCATTTAGTCCAGCTTGGATTATCTGCTCAGCATACAAACTGAATAAATATTGTGAAAGAATACAACCCTGATGCACACCTTTCCTCATTTGAAACCATGCAGTATCTACTTGTTCTGTTTAAGTACATGCATCTTGGTCTATGTACAGGTTCTATATGAGCACAATCAAGTATTCTGGAATTCCTATTCTTTGCAATGTTATCCATAATTTGTTAAGATCCACACAGATGAATGATTTTACATAGTTAATAAAACACAAGTTAATATCATTCTGGTATTCTCTGCTTTCAGCTAAAGTCTATCTGATATCAACAATAATATCCCTCATTCCACATTCTCTTCTAAAACCAGCTTTAAATTTCTAGCAGTTCTGTTGATGTATAGCTGCAACCATTTTTTTTTATCTTCAGTCAAATTTTACTTGTATGTAATATGAATGATATTGTTAAATAATTTATATATTCTGTTGGATCACTTTTTATTGAATGAGCACAAATATGGATCTTTTGTAGCTGTCTTCCAAATTTCTTGGCATAGATGAGTGAGCACCTCTGTATTGCATCTGTTTGTTTGAACATTTCCATTGAACATCCATAAATTCCTGGAGTGTTGTATTTTTGCCAATGCCTTCAGGGACACTTAAACATCTTCCTTCAGTGAAGCTTGAACTTCTTCCTTCAGTACCATCAGTTCCTGATTATATGCTACCTTGTGAAGTGGTGGAATGTTGACCAGTTTTTTGTTTTGTTTTGACAAAGTGACTGTGTATATCTTTCATCTCCTTTTGATGCTTTCTGCACCATTCATTATTTTACCCACAAACTCCTTCAGTATTAGAAGTCAAGGCCTGAATTTTTTCCTTAATTCTTTCTGAAGAAAAGCTTGATAATGCTAAGTACATTCTTCCATTTTGGTGTTTTATCTCCAGGTCTTTGCATATTCACTGTAATGCTTTTCCTTCTCAAGCCACTTTTAGAAATCTTCTGTATAACTCTTTTATTTCATTATGTCTTCCATTTGCTTTAGCTACTCTATGTTCATGAGCAAGCGTCAGAGTCTCTTCTGATATCTGTTTAGTCTTTTTCTTCCTTGTCTTTTTAGGGATAATTTGCTTTCTTCGCAAAAAGTATGGTGTTCTTGATGCCACTGCACAACTCATCTGGTCTTCGGTGATTAGTATTCAATGTGTCAAATATATTCTTAAGATAGTATCTAAATACAGGTGGGATGTATTAGTTTTGTTCTGTTTCAGGATAATATACCTAAATGCTGCTCTCTAGCTAATCAGTTCCTAGTGGGTGAATGGCTAGAATAGGGATCAGGCACAGAATGTGGAAGGATCCTAGGTGAATCAGCAAAAACGAGAGTAAGATTCTGCTCATGCTGAGTATGTGGTCTCATCTTTATTGCTATTACTCTAGCCTAAAGAACAGTAGTACTACTAATAATCTGGGTAGAAACCTAACTACTTGAGCTCTTAGGATGAAAAATAGAGCTGTTAGAAATACCCACACTGAGAAAATAGCCATGAGGAAGACACACTGGATATTTATGTAATAATTTCAGAGAGAAGATACGGAAATTGGCTAGAGTCTTGCCCATTGTTTTTTCTTCTCTGGCCCCCTTGTCATATTTCCATAATTCCTAGAACTTACTGATACTAAGGCTAGTCTTACAAAAAGAAATACATAAATAAGTTACCCCTCCTTCACAGGCTAAAGAAATGAACTATATATTCAGACTTTATTGTTTTTATGACAAACCACAGCATATCAAATCATTTTAAAAATGGAAGCTTTCTGGTTTGAGTAATGAATTTTACTATGGTTTACAAAACTTTTATTTATACTAAATGATGGAATGGAAACAGGACCATATTTAAAAATCAACATGAGATCATTTTAAGGAGTCACTTGAAAAATCTTTAAATGGTAAAATTATAAAAATATTTTCCAAAATATAATTGAATACATATTCAGTATAATCCCTTCAGAAAATATTTTTCATTGCATTTTTAAATCACAATAATAATTAACATGCAAATTACTTGGAAAGGTAGACATTAATCAAAGGCCTACGTTACTAAGCATAGAACTTCCATATCTTCCTTGACTTAAAAAAATGTTATACCATAAACAGAGTCAAGTGACAAACTAATCATAAAAATCTTGGTCAATTTATATAACAATAATGCAATACATTTCAAAACTCCTTATTCCATTTCATTATACTTTTATTGAATAAATATGGGGTAGAGTTATGTGCAATTAAGATAGCAAAGATGATTAGTTAATGAAAAAATGATGGCATAGCAAATTATGAAGTAGCACATCTAGAATTATATTTGGAATATAATGATTTTTTTTGTTGAATTAACTATAACAGTTAATAGGAATAAATGAGACATAGATTTAAATTGATGAGGAAATTAAAAATAAGTGTTATTTAATTTCCTACTAAAATGGGTAATTATTCTTTATCAATATTTTGCCACCCCATAGAGCTGTCAATGTGCTTGTTTGCCTCAGATTTAAAGAATTTATATATCAAGCAAAAAATAGTAAAGAAGTAAACAAAATATTTCTAAATAAGCTTTTTCTATAAAATTCAAAATATGTATCAGTTCAAGTTTATCAAAATTTTTATTTTAATGAACATAAATAAACAAACAAACAAACAAAACCCCCTAAACTCACTGCCACAGCATCATTTTCAACTAACAGTGATTCTATAGTATAGACTAGACGTACTCTATAAGATTTCTGGGACTGTAACTCTTTAAAGAAACCGATTGCCTCTTTTTCCTCCTTTCAAGTGACTGGTAGGTTTGATCTTATGTCCCTTCAGTTAGCACCCCAATGCTTGATTCACTGGACCACTAGGGCTCCTTTGAACATAAATTGTTGTTGTTAAGCACTGTTGAGTCATTTCAGACATATAGCGACTCCATATAGGGTTTCCTAGGAATAGCTAGTGAGATTATACCATCGACCTTGCAGTTCAAACTAGCCTTGTGGTCCAGTGCTTATCCTACAATGTCACACCATGTAGGGGAATTTAAAATATTGTTAAAATAACCCACATTCTAAGATCAATCCACTGCATTTATAACAGTATAGTGGTCATTCTAAAACATATATAGATTAAAAACAAATCAGGGTCTCTAACTCACACCCACCCTACCAGCAATAAATGCCACAGATGATCTGAGTCACAGAAAAGCCAAGAAAACAAATTACCCCCATAATCAAGGATAAGCCCAACAAAGAGAATAACTATGTAATTGACATTTGAAGCTGAAGATTGTACCAAGACAATGAAATCACTATGGATACTTTAGATATAAATACATCAGCTAAAAAGGGAATAGCTTTTTTTTTTTTTTTTCATTTTGAGATGAAGTTTAAGTACTTCGTTTTAACTAGTAACTTGCTCAAGGTGA